GAATTGGAGCTTCGCTCGAACTATGACTTCTTCCATCAGTGCAAGCTCTCCGAAATCCCTGAATTCCGACGGAAGCCGCTCCGCCCTTTCGATTGCTCTGACAGTTCTCCCCATCGCGGACACCCTTCCTACTACGTCGTGCGGGGACGATTCCGTATTATTGATTTCACCGAGGGAGCGATGTCGGACTCGAGCTGCAAGAGTTCCCCACGGAGGAAAATGGGACCATGCAGCCGAATCACTCGAAAAAAATATATGGATAAGACCGCGAGTTTTATTTTGTAGGCCGGAAGGGCCACTGCTCAGGTTTCCTTTCGCCTTCTCGAATCCAACTGGATCGAATCGGTGGCGGATTAAAGATTTTACCGGAGAGGAAATTTCGTATTTCCGAAGGTCGGTTGCGCCACAATGTGCTTCTTCGACGATGGAGCACTTCCGGGACCGCGGGGAGGGGGGGGGGAAGCCCGCGACTGGATCAAATCAGCTACACTTCCAATGCTCGTCGGGTGCCTCTCTCGGCTGGAACCGCGAGGTAAAACCGAAGAATATGTCGCGGATGAACTAGCAGCCACGCTGGGTTGAATCAATGCCCCGATCGCTCAACGTCAAGCTGACGCTAGCCCACGCCATCGCCTGAGAAGAGAAAGATATCCTTCATTTTGCCAAATCCTTCATCGCGTAAGAAGAAAGAACACATCGATCACGAGCGGACTTTTGCGGCACAGTGTCTTCAAAGCCAAGCTGCCTCACCCAAAAGTGAAGACTCAGTCAGACACCGAGTTCAAATACCCCGCAAGGCTCTCACTCGCTCGTCCTGCCAGGCGACTGTTTAGAAAATGTGAAAAATGATCCGAACACCGATCCGCCATCTCACAATCAAGCGGCGGCAGCGATTGAAAGGTCCCGCAGAGGAAATAGAAACGAGTTCCCATTCTTCTTCCTGCTCGGTCCTTGTTTTCCCAAGTTTCTATCCCCAAACTCAATCATCGATCAAATGAGTCGAGACAACTTCCTTTGAAGAACACACACACGTGGCCCGCCTCTCAAGGCCCTGGAAAGAAAGCGAAAATACTAGGAGGAGATAAGGTGCTTGGAACCCAATCTAAAATGTAAATACTCGGTAAACAAGCGGTTTTTTTTCCGCTTGCGTCAAAACGACCCAAAGCAAAAACTCATCGGTACAACAAAAAGTCCTGGGCCTGTCTTCTCGGGAGTTTGCTCTGACAGGCAGAAGGAAAGAAGAAGCCAGGAAGAACGCACTGTGGGATCGATTTTTCTCTCTGACTTAGTGTGTCGATGGGAACTTTTTTTCTACTGGAGCGAGAGGCAGCTTGCACTTATTGGGTAAAATAAGCTCCTTTTCGTCAAATATTGCTGCTCTTCATCGATATGATAATTCGTAATTCCCCTGTCCTTCAGTGGAGAGCTAAGACAGGACTCGGATTCTCCCTTCGTTGATCGACTAACTCGCTCGGCGTTTCCATCCGACAACGACGCGTCGTCATGAAGGAGTTTCTTGCCCTTCATTCCCCTTCTCCCCCTCGAGCTTATTCCTTCGTCCTTCGAGCAATGGGGCCGAGCCTTCCCGCCGAACGCTCGCCGACGATGGCGCGATTCCCGCGGATTCCTCGAACCGTTCCGAGGAACCTTCTTTCCGGCTCCACGTGCATTCCTCCTACTCGAGAGAGCGGAAAGCCCTCCCTCTGTCTGTTGTCTTAATCCTGTTTTATATGCGACTGGTAAACGGCTCGGGAATATGTCTCCGACGGTGACCGTCCGGTGCTATAAGATTAGGCTCAATCTCTGTCGGCTCACGACGACGCCGTAAAAGATAGGAGTGGAAAATACGACGATTACCCCTAGCGCTGAGCCGCAGCGCTTGAGACGGGACCTCCGATGCGCTGGCAGCGGAAGGCTGAGGGGACACCGGTGATTTTCTTGATTCGGGAGCTGAGTCTCGAGAGATCTGACGGTTTCCTTTTCGTAATCCGAGATCTCAGTCAAGCGAAAAAATTACTCGACTCGGGCATCTCGAATCCCTCCTTCCCCGTGTTCGTTTATAACCGTATGATGCTGAATAGTCTTCGCGTTCACCCGCTCCGTCACTCAATTTATGCTGATGATGTATCCTCCTGGGCGCCTCCCGCTAAGTGAGATTATTAACTTCGAGTTTCAACGATTAAAGTCCGGCTCTAATGATTGGGACATCAGCGGAGCTTATAATCAACAATTCAGTCTTCCCGTTCAGGTCGACGTCGCACCACTCCATCAAGAAAGTGTTTCCGTCGAATGAGCAACAGATTCGATGGATGGTGCGGTGGGAAGTGAGCCCACGGAGGAGTAATCTTCGGGACTGAATGATGGTTACGGGACAGTCGGCGTTCTCGGGGCGTGACCGACCGCGAGAGCTTCATGAATTTCTGTGACGGAGCTGCTGCGCGGATGTCGCGACACCGTGACCGTGAAAAATCTCTGGCGCTCAAATCATATGTATGTATATCACGCTCGCGAAAAATAGTCGATTCGATCTCCAGGGCATCAGCGCCTTCAAGATCCTGCTACTGCTCCCGAGAGTCATCGCCACGTGAGGGCCACGAGCCCAGGATACGTACGGCGAAAATTGAGGCAAACGCCTCATCATTGAAGACTTTTTGTGCAAGGAGTCCTGACGGACGCTGAGGGAGGCCCTTCCAGTGTGGGACCTTTAAAGTGGGGGTCCAAGTTCGAAGACTGATCACGTGATCACTGATCTGAGTGTAAGTACCCCATGAGGCTCTGTACAGCTGTCACAAACGACCATCGATGCACGTATCCGCCCACCTAAGGATGAGCTCTTTGAGAGTGTCTTGACCCCGTAGTTCTATCTGTGGGTCCCGACTCGGCTGTGCCGATCGATCCTCTGGCACCCCTTGCGAACTTGCCGGTTGAATATTTCCGACTCAACAATTGAGTGATCTCCGCTCTTGAATTGAGCGGAGCTCAGATCTTGTCGCCCGACTCTATCTCGGTGGCTCAGGTCTACTCGTCATCCACAAAAAGTCGACCCGACATGCGAAGTGCCAATGTCAATGGAAAGCAATCCAGGTAGGGATATTCGTTTCCCTCGCTGTCTTCTTTTTCGTTTGCTCCCTACGAACATCAGGCGGACAAGGATCGGGAAATCGATTTGTGTGGAGAGACCCTATCCTCTATGATCTATGGCGTTCCGGAAACAATATCGCATCGACATACAACGTACATATGTCGACGAGCCGGTGCTGGGGTCTTATACGGGCGCGGGGAAGAATACTGCATGTAAGAGAGCATGTAGATTCCCATTCTGGGGATCCGCATCGTTCCTGTCGCGTAGAAGTTCTTCTTTGATACCTAGGTAATCCTGATTCCGAACATGTCTTGAGCGGGATTCGCCGAATGTGATCTCGGATCTTTGATCACGTATTCTGAAAAGAGACCGACAAGACGCCTCGGCGGCGGTGTCGCTAGATCAGGAGCCCCTTTCGCAAAGATCAACTTCCCTTCGAACTTCTCGGATGCTGAGCCTTGGGACCTGAAATTCGGGTGTTCGGAATCGAATTCTCCCGCTGACGATCCTGAAGATACGCAGAGTTTGAGAAGGGTGTCGCTCCTGAGGTGACTCCGAATGACATGCCACACACCGGCCTCAGCCGTGAATCGAGTATCGGCGAGCCCTGCATGGGAGCCGGCAGCCGACGAGTTTTTCCTTTATGGGAGGTAGCTTTTCACGGGGAAGCTCTGGGTACTTCCAGAAATACCATTCCGGCGAATGGAGAAGCAGACTCCCAGAGCGGGGCCGACCGGGTTTCGGGAGCCGTGTTCTCCGTTAATAGCTTGTTAGGGAGGACCTGCGCGGAGTGAGGTGCCGGAGAGACAAAGTGACTTCTCTCCTCTTTTCCAGGGGGAGAAGAGTAGTATGCTCTGCGCAACTTTAGTGGATCGAGAGAGCTTCATCCCCGCGTCTCTCCACGAATTCGGGGATTCTGAAACCTCATCGGAGTGTCCCGGATAACAACCGTAGGGTTCCCCTGCCATCGGAAATTCATCTGACCATGACTGACCAATGATGAAGGCGACCGGCGGAGTCATCCGATAAATAAGTGCGACGCGGGCACGCAAACGGTGGACGTTGCCTGAGTTCAATCAAAGCGAGGCGGATATCTTGGATCTTCACAGGGAAAGAGAGGTCATTGGGACCTTTTATAATTCTTCACGACGCATGATCCGCTTCTGTTTTGGGAGCGTCGCCTAATTACAGTTGAACGGGATCCCATGCTGATTGCATGCGTGCAGCGCGGGAGCTGTACGTGGGTAGCGTCCCCCGAACACCCGTCCAGGGTTGGGGAGAAACCCCGAGCCTGAACTAGTAGTAGGAGTATTTTCCCGAATGCAGACATGGACAAGTTCCGCGACGCTTCCCGAGCAGAGATCTCTGGATCTTGAACTTTGGAACCAGGTGAGGCGACCCGAGGGGCTCACGGAATTTATGCGTTTCGGCGCCCAGAGGGAATAGAGGATGAAATCTTATGCGGCCTACTGAAGGAGGGAAGATGGACTTGTCCCCTCATACCGAGAAACCGTAAAGTCGATCCATTGATGCCCCATGTGTTCGCAATCAGAGGAGACTATGAGACAATCGTTTTTTGCCTGGGGGACGGATTTTCCGCGGGGGATTAAGTGGAGAAAAGAGACAGATCTCCCAATCGATCGATCATCGATGGATACATAACAACGAACACGTATCCGTCCCCACCGCGATCCCAAGTACTTTGGATACGTTTCAGGATACACCCGGTCAGAGCTGCCCGAAAATTGCTATCGAGCTCGGCAGTCCATCTTGCAGAAATGAGTATTTTCGTGAATTTCCCAATAAGCTGAAGGCTGCGACAAAGGCGGTTCTCGATTTTCGTAGCCTCGATCGCGATGCCGACGCTGGGTCGTTGTGCCAAAGCTTCGTGATCGGATGACTGCAACCGCTTTCAAAGACTTGCGCCGGCTGCGATTCGTGTTGTTCCGTCGCCTAGTGTCCGCCATTTAGTGGCCCTGATCGTCAAAGTCAGTACGCGATGGCCTCACTGAAAGTCAAGAGTTTTGCTAAACTTCTCAATGTCGAGAATGCGTTCTGCATGTAAGTTGATCGACGATATCCGCTCATCGAGATTCCGTCGATTTCAACGGAGCAGGACGATTCAGTTTGCGCAGCCACTCCTTAAAACAGTGCTCTGTGCATGTGGATAAGACACCTCTAGAGGTCGTTCGGCAAGAAACTTCCCAGAGAATCCTTGCGAAGCTGGAGGTTCAAGTTCATGAAGGCTCATGATGAAAAGCCAAAGGGCCTAATGTCTGTACGTCTCTTGCAGCGGCACCCGAGCGATGAGCGGCATATCCGGCAGTGGCGCCGGAAAGGTAAGAGAGGATAATTCGACGCACTCAGTGAAGATACTGGGCTTTCGGCTCTCTCTCCGCTTCTTCCCGGTCGCCCACATTCTCGGGGTACCCGCACGCCTTGATTCACCAAAGTTCGCCGATTCATGATTGATCAAAGCTTCTCAATTCTTTTTAGGGAGGCGGTTCCGGAGGAAGCGTACGAGACGCTGGAGGCTCTCTCGGTAAACGTGAAGCTGCTCAGGAGGACCAATACTTCAGGTTTGTTCGATGACCCTTTTCCCCTCCTGGTCTCGATGAGGGCGCGGGAGAGTCACGGAAATCTCGCCAGATCTGTGCCAGCATTTCTTGACGAGAGCGATTGTTGCAGGAAGCTGCAGCAAGAGCAGCTCGCGAATTTGCATAAACACCTCGAGGACGAAATTGCGCAGCACGAGCTTCAGATTAAGCAGCACGAGCAGTCCATCAAGAAACACAAGGAGACTCTAGCTTCGCTTAGGAAACAGTAAATCGTATGGCTCCCTCCGCCTATCATTCGATGAGCAGGTGGTGAAACTTTCAGAGAATAAATCGAATCGTTCTAACAAAGTCCGGAAAGCTCGAGATGCTTTTTTATTGATGTCTCACAGCAGACATCGCACTCACGGTTGTTCGATTCGATGCTCGTAACTTAGGTGTAAGCATTCAAAGAAATGTCATCTAAAAGAGTTTTCAGAGATCCGCAGTCGGGGCAAGTCTTGCCCCCAGAGCTGAAAATCGGACAGCTTTCGTGCCTCCATCGATTCGTCGAGTCCAGATATCTAGAATGTGGGACATATGTGAACAAATAATATGAGCGACAGCTCGGAAGCTGTGTATCGATGCCGACCTCATAATTCGGGAGGGATGACTTCTTCAATAGAATATCAATGACAACGCACCCCATTGTACTATCGAAGACCACTTCTCCTTGGTCTGCAACACCCGGGCACTTCGGAGAGTTGATCACTGTGAGGATCAACTTGAAACAACCAGTATCCGATGTCAAGTCCCCGCATCGGAGAGATTCCGCACAAATTTCGACGCCTCGTACGTATACCGTTGGGACCGTCGTTTCATGGAACAGGATCGTGCTCAAGAAACAGGGTCTCAGGAATTCCGAATGAACCACTGCAAGCTGTGTAAGAAGGGAAGAAGATAAGCCGAGACATTAGAGGTCGTTCGGATCGAAGGCTCCTCCGGGTACTGTCGCCGAAGTTTGGAAGATAAATCCTCTCGGAATCTTCCGGGATTCCCCATCTTTTCGGAAGGCTCTTATCCACTATCCATCCGCCATGACCCGCATTTCCTTCTCGAACTAACCTCGGCGACCATCACAATAGCTTGCTTCCGGTCGAAATGCATGTAAACCCTGTCTTCGTATCGTTTCCACCGGGGAGAATTTCTCAGCTCCCAAATGGTCTCCAAGAATCCTAAGGGTTTGCTGCCGGCTGAGAATGATGCAATCGAATCAGTCGATCTCCTCATTGAAGTGAGGCCTCCACAATGAATAGATTGGAAGAAAGTAATTCGGTGGCTCGAGAAAGGGAAATTCTACCTGGAGCATCTTGAATCTTCGGGACTTCTGGGTCGTGCCCATGGTGGGTTTCTTGATATTCGACAATGTATGTTCCCGCGGGATCGACGGTCAATGTCATTTTCGCTGGGCATTTGACTCCGCAACGCACTGAAGCCCGGCGTTTTTTCTGTGACTGCAGGCCGGAAGGAGAAATGATATGAAGGATTGTTATTCCATCGCTTTCTGTGCAGAGCCTATTCTGTGCATGCCCTGCATGATACACTGCACCGCGGCACGACGAGACATTTCCGATGAAACATTTACTTTTGTCGAGACAGCGTAGGCATCCTCACCCGGTTTTCGTCCGGAATCCTCGATTGGAAATTTCCGGATCGATGGCATACGAAGTATCTCTTCGCTACGCAGGAAGCGGTCTTCTTTGTTCCCGATGTGCTGACGTATTGAGCTCCGGAACGCTTCTCCTCTTCCACTTTCCATAGCTGGAAATCTGTAGGATCGAAATGCTCAGCTCGTGATTCTCTCATGGGGGCTAGTTTTCCTACAAGGTTTCTCTACGGCAAGCTTTTATTCGGCAATAACTCTCGCCTCGAGGTTCGCTTACGGATTTCACTCTTGAAGACCAACTTGACGTATTTGAGAACTGTGTCGTGAGCTTCTTTGAGGTGTTTCGCTATGTTCGTACCAACCTGCGGACGTGAGAATAGTTCACTGAAGACATAGCGCGCTCAGGAATCTTCGGGCTCCCATAACGAAGTCCCTACTCGAATTAAGAACACACCTCGCCATCACATATGAAACACCTCACGAGTCCCGGGTGAAGCTTCCTGATATGCCTGTTCAAGTTCGTTTGTGTCGAAAACGTCACCTGGCAGTCGCTACACTTCAGAGGAGCCTACGGACAGATGATCTTTAGAGATTTGACAGTGAGGTATGATCATGCGTCAGTTCATACAGCGAATAGGACGGACCGTTCTGCGCGAGCGGCTTCCTCTGGGCGGGGACTCACGGAGTCGGAGACTCTCTGGAACTTCCTCCATGGCTGTCATTTGTCGTCCATGGGCTGATGTGTCGCTTGCCTCGGGCACAGGGAGCTCACATGCAATGGTGAGCAGTCCAGAGTTCGAGTCGTATTCTGATTTCCACTCGCTGCGCTTTCCAGAAAAGAGGTCTCGGACTGGCGGGGTCGGATAAGAAACTCAAACGCAGCGAGAACGATACCTCTGCAACACTCTGACCGTCGACAGGAATCGAGCATACAAGGTTTTCGCAAAGGAATACCTCCCGTCGTTATGCAGCCCGAGGAAACCAAGCAGCGTCACTGAGAGCGATTCCTCTCCCGAAACCGTCTGCTGTGTTTAGACAACAAATCAGCGCGAGAAAGAAGGCCATCAGGAGCACGTGCCGGGACAGGATCGACGGAGCTCGCAGCCACGCAAAACGAACAGTCTAGTTCGTTTTGGAGACGATGGCGGAAACCGCTGTCAAAGATTCGGACCCAGACGCGTCTTTAGGGAGCGCGAGCGACGAGGAGCAGGTGAGTTTAAGCTCGGGTGTGACTGAGGAGTTGTTGGAATCGAACACTCCTTCGACATTGGACAGAGCTCCGGTTCTACGAGCTCTTTCATCCCTCAGCAAGCGGGGCGCGATGATCTCGTGGGCGGAAACGAAGGATGGGCTAACGTGTTCGCGAAAGTTCTCACGCAAAATCCCAAACTCAAGAAGAAGAAGAAGACGGTGGTCCTCTCGAAAGCGCGGAAAGATGCCGAAATCGAACGTCGGAAAGAGTTGGCGGCGTCCGGCAAAGACAGACCGAAGAAACGGATCGCGCGCGAACCCATGAAAATTGTTGACGGGGAAGGTAAGACGACTCGTTTACCGCATCATTGCATGAGTCCTGTAGTCGTGATGCGGGTGTCGACAAGCTGAGAATGAAGTGGAACAGAGGTGATCAGGTGTAAGAAAGCGGAAATTGTGAGAGAACGAACCGACCATGTCGATGGATCAAATCTCCTCGAACTTAACCGAGGTACTGAATAAATCCTCAGGGAAGGTTGTTGACGAAGAAGAGGTGTCCGAGGGGGATGAAGATGACAACTCTGAAAGCGACGAAGCAGCCTCCGAGAAGAAATCCGTTCTGGACAAAATACGGCGGAAGAAAGAGCGTTTGACTTATGGGTTGGTGGAAGCTCAACCTGGAGATCCGTATGAGAAGAATCTACTGAGAACCGCCACAAAGGGAGTGGTGCAGCTATTCAATGCTGTCAACAAGCACCAAGAGCAACAGGTTCGAAAGTCTCTCTGGGAGCCCCTCTGGTCTGCAATGCCCGGAAATTATCACCAGTTCTCAATCGATGTCAGGAATTACTGGGGGTCCTGTGGTTGTCATTCGATTGTCGATGATGAGAATAATAATTGATAATTTACTTTACAGAGAGCAAAGCAGAAAGCAGATTCTTCAGACGACGAAGACCATCGCTATAAGAAGGGGCGATTCATGGATACATTGTATAAAATCCAAGAGAAGAAAAAAGGCAAAGATGAGTCTAAGTGGGAAGCGCTGAAAGACGACTTCATGATGAATTCAAAAATGCGGGACTGGGATAAGCAAGCTGGAAGCGATGATGATTGATTCTCTTGTAAATATAATGTTTGTGTTCCGTTAAGCAACTGGTGAAATAAAGCGACCGATCTCTTCCAATGAACAGAAAGTTTCTATAAGAAGGCGGCGTTCCTGAGCCTGAGCCCTGCATTGGTATCCATATGGTCCGTGAGTGATCATTTATTCGATATCTAGATTCTTGTGTAGCGAGATTATCAGAAGGGGTGTATCCCGCGCGTATCTGTGAGAAACCGTGGTCGATGGTCGAGCCTGTCCTCAGACTGCGTAAATGCAAGACAGGGAGTCGGGAGAAATCGCTGGTCTTGACGCCCGACTCTAACGCTCGAGCCATCGCATTCAGCCCGTTGATCATTCCATACAATAATTATTGTATAATAGTCAGAACCCATTCCGCGGTCTGATATCCCAATCGTCGTAATATACATGGGGATGGAGATCACTCGGGAGCTGACACCTGATGGCGATCGAGCATCCATGAAGCTCTCGATCAGAGCCAACAAATTGAAACATCTACGAATCTCTATCACGTCCTCGACTGTATCGAAGTCCGACCGCCGAGCCTGACCAGTGAGGCTTGTAATCCGGGACCCATTAGAAGAGGTCCTCCATTCTCGGCCTCTTCTTGGCTTCAGGTAAACCTTTCTGGTTGTTGGCTGTATGTCATTTAGCCTTGGTAGACGAGGAAGATGAGCTGGAAGAAGGCTTGGAAGAAACTTTGTGCGACGGCGAGCTCGGCATAGAAGACGAGGATGAAGCGCTCGAGGATTTTTTCTTCATGAAGTCTTTCATCTTATCACGTTTCTCCGTTGAGGAGGAGGAAGACGAAGAACTATTGGATTTCTTGCGTTCGTCGGTTCCTGCAACGCAATCTCTCATTTACAGTCAATTTCTCAAGGATCTGTCTCCCGACCGGAGCCTCTACCTCCCGGATTGAGGCACAGGAGACAGGGTTCGTTGGCAGTTTTCAGTGATTGAGCCGGAATTATCACACGACATTGACGGAATCGACGTACTTGTTGCGGAGGCAACGGCTTTGCCTGGGGGATTTATTTTGATTGCGGCTAAAATGGTTGCTTGAGCTTGCGGACCATGTTTCTGAGCTACGACGTCTTCTATGAGCTGTGCCAGCTGATCGACCGACTCCCTGGGACGCGAATGGAGCAGTCTCAAGGCCTTCGTGAACAACGGATCCAATTCCCCCATCTTCAGCGTGGAACGATATACGGAACTCTCTGGGGTCTCTCTGTGAATTACGAACGAATTCTGATTCATCGTATCGAACTGTTTTTGTCTTTCTAGGCTCGGACATCAGCGCAAAGAAACCAGGAGAAACTCAGATGGGATTGCCATTCTCGGGATATCCATCCTCATGACGGAATTCCGTGGAATTAATGAGACCGACAACGATCAATTTCCGAAAGATCAGTGGACGAGAAATACCTACGTCACAAACTTCGGTTTCCCGAGTTAATGGAAGTTTCGGTGTTCGCCGCTCGCGCGTCGTTGGAAGCCAATACAATAACGAAACTAGTGGCGGAGGGATATCATGGCCGGGCGGGTTTGCGCGCGCCATCATCCGAACCTAAGTCTTAAGGAAAAATTCAATCGGATTCGCAATGCCGAATCCTCGCTTCATCTCGCGATCGATCTGGGACCGGGGCGTCGGGAACTACGAGTGGGGACTCCAATTTTCTCCCAGGATACTCCTACTGTTTCATGACAACGATATCAGCTGATCTAGAAATCATATGATTCTCTGGAACCCCTTCCGCATTCTTGCGCAGGGCTCATGGTCCTCGCGATTCAGCCGCTCACTGTCGTACGAATTTCATTCGCCCAATGAGTGTCGACGCGCGGATAAAATACGCCGCAATCCCGGCGATGGGAACCGCTCGGCCTAAGATCCCTGATCCCGAGAAGCGTGGCTCTTACTCGGATCTCGGGTCATCGACATCTGCCGTCCGTCGAAGACCCAGAGATTTGGGGTTTCAGGACAAGTATATTCCCCCGCACGTTTTTGAGAATTCCAAAGCTCCGAATAATTCGTACCCCTCGAGTCGAATTCGATGTCGTCCACTGCATTTAGCCTCGGGCTCGAAGCTCTGCGGAAGCGTTCGGCCATGGGTGTTTTCCGCAGCGTCGAATTCTATGGCGATCCAGGTCTTGAGGATCGTACACGGTGCTCGCGAATTCTTACAGATTCTCAGATCTCGCTGAATGTGGTTAACGAGATACGGGTGAACCCTCTCCAGTCCCTCTACCCAGGAGCAGCGGATCCTCTATAGTGGCGGACGTCAGCCGCCGCCGCCGCTGAGAGCCCTCGCCGGATCTAGTTGTGCTCGCGGACGCATTGTGAAGCTTTTCTACTACCATTTCTCCTCCACAGCACACATTGCTTATCGTCTGTCTGACCGACGGACCGACCGAAGGACCAAGCAGTCAGTCAGTCCGTCAGCCAACCAGTCGTCCGGCCAGCCGGACAGACACCGAAAGCTAAAAATCAACTGTCCAGCCAGACGGCTGGCGATTCCGGATCGGATTCGTGGTGTCAAATTCAGCGAGGATAGGGTTTCGTGCGGGCACGAGTGCAGATGTTGCAGGAGCGCACGAATATACTCAGGGTAATGTGTTCTGTGCAACCGAAGACGAAGTGATGTGATTCCTCAAAGATCCGCTGCCTTGCTTGCGACGGTGAGTTGCAATCCTCAATTCGATGGGACGACGGGTCAGAGCAGCGCTCCACGAAAAAAAAAATCGGGCAGGTAGGTAAACGAAGGAACACGCAAGTGAACGAGTGGGCTCGCAAGACACTAGGCGGCAGGAGCGGGTTCGCCCTCCTTCGTTCGCTTGCACGGCGAGCTTCGTCCGACCCACACACGTAGCTATCGAACCGAGTTTATAGCCCTCAGTTCCGCGGGATTCAATCCGTTCATGTATCCGTCCTGTTTCTGCTCCTCCACGGATCTTACTCCGCTCCTGGTCTTCCGATTGTACGATGAGACACACGGTGCGAGGCCGGAGTGAAAGTTCATCCCGGAGTGACACGGCTTAGATTCTGGTGACATCTCAAAGTCGCTCGAGGTCCGCTGTCAGCTGTAGTCGGACTTTCGGCTTTCTCCTCGAGTGCGGAGTAAGGTTCGAGTCAATTTAGAGAATCTGTCATCCGACGGCCCCGACGCCGCGGGAGAAAAAGGTTGACGTCGCCACCATTTAATTTCCCTGTTTTTGATGATACGAACGTGCTGGTCGTCGACAACTTCTCTACCGCTGCTGCTGTCGTGTTTCCGTCTGGCGATTTCTCTGTTCCGTGATAAAATATTGGAAAATGCTCGAAAACCATCGGTCGGAGCACTTCCGGCACAACACGGTGGTGCGACTTCTCTTTCGAAGTCGAGCTTCGACCAAGACCCCGTTGTATCTGTGGATGGTGGATTACTTTGGTATTTTGTGATCGAGAGCTAGCTAGTTTGACCTAGTTCATAGATTGATGGGCGGAACTTCTTCTCTTTGAGTTCCCTCAACCATCCGGACTTCCGAGAAGATCGTTGGAATCCGGAAGGATTTATAATCTCGATCGCGAAATCCCCGGGTCGAGATCGTTGCGGGAGTTCTTTGATCGGCCAGCGCGTAGGGGGTTCTCGAGTCTTGACCGTCTCATTCGAAGAGGAATTTCTAAAGGTTGCGAGCGCGCCCCCAGATAGTAGTGTAGTTTGGGCGATCCGAGCCCGACCCGGACATTCAGGGGGAGGAGGGAGGGCGACAGCTCCCGCAAGCACGAAGTTATTCAGTCCGAGAGCTCCGGCCCTGTCCTTGGTTGAAACCAAGAGGAATTCCTTCTGAATACGATGTTGTATAGCGAAATCACGCCGGAGTGTAGGCACTGTCGAGAGGAGGCGACAGCTCTGCGAGGTTTCGATTGTGTTGTCCACTACAACTTCTGGTTGGAGTGGCTCACGGCAGATGCCGTTCTTCTGCGAAACACTTCCACCATCGGGAGCCGTTTTCTTTAACGAGATTTTCTCAACGTCGCGAAGCTTCGGCCGCAGCTTTTCCGGGTGGCTTAGCAGATTGAAGGCGGCGGTGACGCCGAAGACGTCAGGTGTTCACTCCAGTTCCGAAAGCTCCGAGCCAACAAACATAGCCCGCACTGCTCCAATGATTTTTAGACTCTTCTTCTGATGGGTGAGGGGGCGATTCGGAAACGCTGTTCAACTCGGCTCAGATTAGGGGTCCTAATTGCATTCCCAAGATCGATCGGATCTTCGGGCCTTCACTGCGACTAATCGAGAGAGCTCCCCGAGTATGTCGCTTCCGGCCCGAAATTGCCATGCCAATTTTCATGCTCGGCCCGCGTCCGTGCCCGCTTCCTTCGAGTGTCATTTCGTCGTTGATTCCAGGGTGGCTCTCTGATTCTGCAGGATTCTAATTTATCTCTACTCGGGATCGCTTTCAGCTCGAAGGCTTCGCGATGAAGGCGTTCGTCGGAATCCCTCCTTGAGATGAAACCTCAGGAGAAGGATGAAGGGTTCTCAGGGCTCGGGGGAGCTGGAGGACCCAGTGGAGTCGCACAGAACATCAAGGGACCCCCGAAAAAGAAAAAGGACTCCAAGGCAGCTTCCTTAGCACCGCTGAGAAAAACGCCGATGTCCAAGAAGAAGGAGACCGCTTCGGCAGTCAGGGAACTCAAGGAGCTTAAGCTAAAGGAGCTCAAGAAGAAGAAGGACGGAGCTTCCTTCAGCCCATCGCCTCAACAATCCAAGGTCAGTTATCGTTAGCAGAAGAGAACGCCCCCCTCGTCATTGAAGGAAGGGGCAGATCGAGCGGCAGTCTCGGGCCGAGGAGGGGCTTCGAATCGAAGTCCAGAGGGGAACAACTGAAAGAAATACTCTTTTCCAGTCATCAAAGGACAAGCAAAAGAAATTTGCTGGTTCGGCTCTAGGCGGAGCTCCGTCTGAGAAAAAGACTAGGAAATCAGTCGGTAGCGATGTCAAGAAAAAGAAGCCGGTCACCAACGGGACCGCGAAGGACGACAAAAAACGTAGAGATGATCCTGCAAAAGACGGAAATGTTGTCGGGAGCGCCGTCGCCGCCAACGGATGGGGCTTCGGAACTGAAGTTCTCACTTGTCTGCCTCGGTAAGCCTAAGCCCGATCGCTCCCTTTACGTTGCCGGGAGTCTATTGTCATTCATCGTCCGCGAGAACCGATTCAGGTTCCGGGCCTCACGAAAAATTCCGCCGCGTCGGAGATGATTCTCTCGCTTTGGCGAACAATGCCTATGAAATTCGAAAAAAAGAACCCCTCCGGAATCTCGCCATCGGTAATCGGAGAGAGCTGTGGGCGAGAGACCCTAGCTCGGGTGTCTCGGACATCATTCTGAAATTCGATTTGCTGGGAACTTGATTTCTATCGTGAACTCCAAGCAACGCTCGACACTTCTCTTTGCTGAGTTTAACCGACGCGGCGCTCCCCTTACGTCCGCATCTGATCTGACGGACTTTCTTCCAGACGAGTTGCCAGCCTGAACGCAATGGCCAAAGTGCACATAATGTACGAAAATGAAACAAATCGATCCACGCAGCACGCGACCTCATCCAGTTCCAATACGAACAATTCCGTCGCGGCAACTTCCAATGCTACGAGTAATAGTTGTCCGACTCTGTTGAACATGGTCAGCAATGGAATCGTCAACGGAGAGACTTCTCATCTCGGTAGCTCGACAGCGGAAGTGTCGAACGAAGTTGTTGCTCCCCCGGCGTCCACAGGTGAGTCGCAGAGAGGCTTCTCGGTCGGAGAGGAACCGAAAACTCGCGCCGACTCGCAAGAACTGCGGAGTTTCTCTCAAAACGTTTATTAGAATCGCGAAACCGAAGAATATAGCCAGGAACGTCCTCCGCAGGTTCCTCGCAACCGACCACCGAAGTAGACACTGACTCCGACGTCACCATCGAGGCGGTATCAACAACAAACAACGGCCATTCGAGTCCCAGAGTGGACCGGAAGATGATGACAGTCGCGATTCCCGGTCGGTGTCGGCGGATGGCATCTCTCAACGCCCAGGCGATTCTCGCGGCAAGTTTGTGTCACGACGAGAAACGTCCCAAGAAAAAAGAGCCACCTGTTGTCCCTCCGACGACCCCCGCAACAGCGGGCTCGGAGCCGAGTACAAGTGGTACCAGCCCGAGCTCAGCGGGAGTTTCAGCTGGTAGTGTGATCAAGATCGAAGACATCGAAGAAGAGGAGAAGAACTCTACGGTGGAAGAGGAAGAGATTGTTCAAATTGTCCAAACGACGAAGATCCGACGGAGGAAAATGAGAACGTCCAAGACCTCCAGCAGTCCACCAAAAGCCCTCAGACCAAAGCTTCCCAAGAAAGGCGAACTGGAAGAAATCGCGAACAAGGAGACCAACAACACCGTGGAAACCAAAGTATCCCAATTAGCATCGACGAGCGTTACGGAGGCTCAGGTCACCAGGACTTTTTCGTAAGTTGCGCTTGATCCTTCGGTTAGGGAAGTCGAGGCACGCGGGCCTTTCTCGATATGGAGATGCACGTTCGGATTTCGAGAGATTTTCAAATCTCATCTATTCGATCTTCGACTTACAGCTACTCTACCACCAGTACTGTTTCCAGCAGTATGCTCGGAGTTGGTCAACCCGGCACCAGCGGCGGCAACAATCTCACCCTGTTGACGAGACCCCCATTGGTGTTGAATCCCCCGCAGCAAGTTCCTCTGCAGAATCAAGCTGCCACCTTCAGTCTGGCATCCTCGACGGCCGTCAACGCGCAGAATCCACAAGGTATTTCACTGGCGAAGTCTCTCTCCAGACAGCGGCATCCTTCGGTCGATCTCATTCGGCTTCTGATGAGATCTTCGTGCACGGGGGGCACGCCTTCCGAAAACCCATCGGAGGGGGGCGAGATATCGCTTTCACCATCGAATTTCGATATTGGTACAGGGGGTCATCTCCGAGTTCTCTAAGCTCATCGGAGTAGCCTTCTCCCTTTCAGGGGTTCGAGCACAGCTACAGAGTAATACGGTTTACCTGAATGCGAACATGAATGTCAATCCCGGTGGTTATCTCGTGGCGGCTCCACACATAGCTGTGCAACAATCGGTTCAGCCGACTGCATCTTTCGGACTGACTCCTACCTACTATCAGGTGTGTTGAAGTCGACGGGAGAATTCATCTTTTTATTGATTTGGTAGATTCGATACCTTCGAAGCAGCAGACGACGGAAAACAGACATCTCGCGAGCAAACAGTACATTCCCGTGTCGAGCTCTGGACCGTTCTGCGAATTGTATCCGATTCCAAGCCGGTGTCAAACCGACTCAGAGAATATGCGAAAGAATCGAACACTGAACTCCGTTGTTTTGACACTCGATTCCGTCATCCCAACTGTCACGAGTTGAAGCCGCTTCTGACGAGCGAACGATGGAATAGAGACGTGAGATTGGTCACATTCCGACAGAGTCTCCTCAGCCGGAGGTAGCACCTGACAGCAGCAATCGAAAACAACCTGCTCATGTGCTGAATAAGTGAAAGAGATCGGGTATTCCACTCGATTTAGAATATAATCATGTTATCTAATAAGGTATAGAAACCGCCGTCGACTTTCGAGTGTTAGTCGACATGTTCCGGCAATGCGTCATCTCAGCAGCGAGCGATGGCGGCCGTCGCTTCAGCGTTTGTATAGTTCGCTCATTCTAAGCTGCGGGCTCCTCTGTCGTCTGTCCTCCTTTTCTACTCGGTTGACTACGAGCGGCTCCGTGTAGTTAGCGCTTTGGTTTCGGAATAATTGTTTATATCTCTGAGAGGGAGCGGCTGTCGTATCGATGCTGGAATTGGATGCTGGCTCTCGGTCGTCTGACAGTGTAGAAATGTTTTCAGGTTCCTCTAATTCACAAACCGATCGCCTTTCATCCGAACGGTCCTTTCGTTGGAGTTCAGGGATCGGCGAACGCTGTTCCCGTACTGACGCCGCGAGTTCCTGCAAGGAACCTCGTCGTGCATTTGCCTGAGTCGAGGCAAGAAAACGGAACCGGAGACACGTATCCGAACCGGCCAGGACCGAGTGGTGTCCAAGCACAAACCCAGCAGCAGCAGCAGCAGCCACCTCAACTCCAACGAAACACTCCCCCTGGTATGCATTCGCCGAATGAAGAAATCTCCGGATTCGGACTCCGATAGATCGCGATGCGATACGGGCTCGTACCGGAGCTCACTCTCAGAGTCAGATAAAAGCATCGAGCGATGGCTCATATTAATCATTCAACCTGTTGCAGTTGAGGTGGTGGTACCGATGGTCGTGAAAAACCAAAGCCGGTCGAACGGCGTCGCGGGCGGCGCCGCCGCCGGTAGAATCACCGTCGTGACAATCCAGGATTCGTCAGGGTCGAGTTCGAAGGCGTCAGGAGACTCGATGGCATGTTCTCAGACGGCTGTCGGAGCTGCTGCAGCAGTGGGGAAACGTGGAAAGATGCAAGTTCCTCCAGCTTCAGGGCTCGGATCTGCAGTAGCAAAGTTGGAACGAAATAGCGACAAGGAGAAAAAGAGCGGAGTCCTCACCGGAATCAAAGTTGATACTCCCATCAAAAACAGTCCCGGCAAGAGGAAACAGCCCCACGGCTGGTCATGGCTTGGGGAACCATTCCTAAAGAAGTGAGTTCGAGGACAGACTTATTCAGCAAGTCCGAGCACGGACTTTTGCAGCGACTCGACCTGTCCCCCAATACTTATATCCGAGCCGGATCCTCGAACGGGGCCCTGCTCTTGATCCTCGGCGGAATGTCCTGCTCGAATTCTCGTGATTAACGGTGGCGTTCTTCGCGAACTTCCAGAGTCTGCACGAGCAACGAGCAGCAGTACGGGTACGGTGCCCAAGTTCGTTGGTGCTACAACGGCATACAGCACCAGGAAGGAGATATCATCCGACCGAGAGACTGCGTGCTACTAAAGAGTGGCCCCCGCGTTATCGACCTGCCGTTTGTCGCTAAGGTCGGCTCCCTTTGGCAGACACCAGAGGGCGAAATGATGATAAGTTTGCTTTGGTATTACAGGTGGGTACTGTCGTCTTAATTTTTTCCCGATGCATAGAACTCATTCCATGGGTTCATTCGGAGCCGACGAGGCTCTAGCTCATTCTCGGCGAAAAGAAACCTGGGGTCGGTTAGGCCCTGGTTGAGAACGTCGACAATCCCGATCGCTCCGTCTGAAAGCCTCATGGAGCCGTTCATTTCCAGACCCGAACACACGGAGCAAGGTCGACGTTCGAATCATATGGAGGATGAGATTTTCGCGTCAAAACACTGCGATTACAACTCTGTCGCATGCATTGAGGACAAGTGTTACGTGCTCTCGTTTGCGGAGTATTGTCGCTATCGCTCGAAGGTGAAGCAGCTCGAGGAGGGGGTGAAGTCGCGGGTGGCGCGAATCGTTCCTCCCCTGAACCCAAATCCCCGACAGTCGTATTTGCCAGACCCAGGCAGAGTGACCGCCGACCTCGTGTTTTTCTGTCGAAAAGTCTACGACTATCGACAGAAGCGTATCTTGAAGAACCCCACTGTCCAGGTGGTGAACACAAGGGATAGTTAGGGTGTTAGGGTACCTAACATTAATACCAACGACAACAACAACGACAATGACGTTGCCAGCGTGGACAGCGATGCCATCATCAGCGTCAACATCAGGAGCAACAACAACGTCGTCGGCAACAACAACAACACCACCAACAATAATAAAAACAATAGGAATTCAGTCGGGTGGAGCCGAGCGCGGTCTTCCGCGAAACAGTTGAATGTTACATTATCACCGCAAAGCCAACGACGTCTTCGGGGGAACAGGCGGCCGCGGGCGCAAAATATCAAGGAGGAAAACGTAGAACAGTAGGCGGGGATGGCCGAGCTTCCCGAGCTCAGAGGCGCTGGGTACGCATTTTTCGAGAGAAGAACCTACTGCTGCCTTCCGACCGACCGTTGGAAGATATGTGATGCTCTCCGTATGATCTCGTCTCTATGATCACGCGTAGGTTGGGTCCCGTGTCACGCATGATCATTTGTGTCGCTCGAACCCGATCCCGCTGCCAAGTCTCACATCCGTTTTTTCGAAAATCGAGAAAAAGATCAATGGAATTTTGAGCCAGCGATCTCTTCACCAGAATTTTCTCAAGTCGAATAGGCTCCGAGAGGTGACGGAGATCGGAGAGGAGTGACAAACCATCGATGATCTGAACTATATTAGCGAAGGAATAACGTTTATTTCACTCACTGGTCGGAGTTTGCCATTTTCTGTCCCTGATGTTTTATTTGTTCAAGAGCTCACCTCAGTATTATGAATAGTCGTATCACGCGGCGGGGAATATGCAGCGGAGAATCTTCTCTGGAAAAATGAACTCGAGAATTGTCTCATCGGGTCGCTCACACCGACTCAGTTCTTCGCTCGGTACGGGGAACCGGCAGGAGCGCCTAAAGTCATTAGTAACAATATGTTCACCCAACATGCAGATTACTATTTATGCAAGGTTCCGCACTAACGACGTTCGGCCGCCTGATCCTCTCCGGAGCATTCATGTTAATTTGAGAATCTCTAAATTCATTTTTTCGTAAGTGACTAAGACCTGGAAGGTCGGCAGAAACGGAAATGCGTATCAACTTCATAAGCGTCGAGTGAGTAAGATATGTGCGCACTGGTTTGAGAGGATCTTAGATTTGGTCTTTAGTGTCTATATTCCACGGGGCTGATTGTCGTTCCGGGATCGCTCTCTTTCCCATACCATTTGGATAGCTCGCCGACCGAGCTATCCAAGAAAGTCCTAGTAGTCCATGAAACGTGGCTGTCATCCTCTTACTTCACCTCCTCGAGGGGCAGGGACTTCTTGTGTAAATAGCCGTGAATCGATGTGATTGTAAATATATTTAATGACATAATATAAACAGAATACACATTCAAAGCGAGTGGTAGTGAAGTTATGGGAGAGTGCGATTCAGGAGAAAGTGTTCGTTCAGAGAAATTTGTCGTCATAATATACCCAATGGTTGGCGACCATGGGAGACCGTGCAGTTACGAGAAGGAGTTAGGAGGTACGATACTAACTTGACCTGGTAAATTGTTATGAGCGGGACGTAATCTTGTTGACGCAGCAGAAAACCGAACTTCGTACAAGACAGAGTCAGCGAGCGTCGATATTGCCCAATCCAGGCTTCTCTTCGGCAGACTCGAAGGCCTAGGACCCGGAAGAAGAAATGAGTTTCTCCCGAATATTTGGGTGTACTCCCTTTATCTTCCGAATGAGGATGGCCGGGCGTTCAAACTCGCGTCAGACGAGTCGGTGGAAACTCGAGGGGTCCAAGGGAGCTGGATCGGAGATCTTTCTCCCCCTTCCCTGAGTAGGGAATTTCTTGACTCGCTGCGCTCGATTGCCCCGCATCGAAAACCCACACTTAGAGAGAACTCTGCCTCTCCGTCCCGCTGATTTTAGGCCAAGAGAGGCAGAACAGGGGGAATAACAACAACACATCCTTCGACTCGATTGAAAAATCCTTCGCGGAAGTCGTAGACTCAACCTGAGTCCGGCCCTCCGCCGGTTTTCGAGATTTCCGTGAGATCTGACTCCTGAATAGGAGCGAGAGTTGACATTCGATATCAGGAGGGAATGCCAATCGACTTTGATTACATTATCAGGCGGGAGTTTATCAGCAGAAAACCGGCTGCGCGAGAAAGTTCAAGCTGCTTTAATTATCCGGCGGAACCAATATTTTTTTATGGACGGCAATTATTCAACTGATGCATTAACTCATTGATCAATTTATATATATATATATTATACATGAAACCATGAGAATATATATATTGGCATATTCTTGTCTGAGAGTGTTGGAAAAACGATTGAGCAGTGTGACAAAACATAGGAACCTCGGGAGTACCTCAGAACATGAAGGAAAACTTCAATCAATCGCGGAACCGGATGGAAAATGCACTCCGAATGTTGGACGAACACGGATTCAAATAAACATGGAAGGAGATATCAATATGGAACTTCATTGAGAATTCTCGCTTGTATGGCTTCTTGGTCACCGACTTGATAGAGCTTGGATATTCCCGAATGAGCTTCCTGGCGAGTACAGCGGCGAATCGAGGGGGTTCCATCAGCGACGCGAGTTTATGCGCGATTCAATGACTCCGCACATGAACCATGGGCGGATTGCGTGCGTCGGCAGGTGTCTGCTCCGTGTACCTCAGAGTCTTCCGATAAAAAATCGAGGGAGGAGTCTCTCAACCGGAACGTCTATTGGAGATGCGGAAAGCGGAATTCGAATTCCACCCATAGTATTCGTCTGTGTTCCAGATGGAATGGACCTACTCAATACAGCCTCGGCGTGAGAACTTCAGGATTCGGATCGCGGAGGGAAAAACCCTCCCTCTGATGATAAAGGCAACGTATTGATTTTGTGAGGGGTGGGCGAGTTCGAAATTCCCTGCGTGCGTCGAGCGTCGAATACAGTATCACAGTCCCGGTCCATGAAGGCTTGACATTGTTCAGAGGATGGGAAGCTCTGAGGTAGGCACTAGGTTCACATCGGGAAAACTCGAAATGCGCCACTGACTGCAGGAGAGAATTGCAAACTTCTTTCTCACATAGATCCAAGGCCTTCGTCGGCTCCTGGTACATTCCTGGAAGTGTTCTATCGATCACTTTGTATGCATTCCTGAAGCTCGAATGCTGGATGATCTAGGATCTAGGGAGAAGAATCAATCGACAGAAGCAATAGGCACATAGTTCGCCTCCAGGACTTACCTTCCGTCCCCTCGTGGTATTCCTCACAACCAGTCTCTGGGAAACTCGCGATCAGACTCGTAAAGGGTCCGAAAATAAGTCAAAAAGAAGGGAGCTCCAACGATACGATGGGGAACATCCCGAGAAAAGGTTTGCCCTCGGATTGGGCCCGGAGCAGGCTGACCGCTCTGTGATTCACTCAGTCGATGCACCAAGATTGTTTTACTTCCCGCTGATTGCAAAATCTGGAAGAGGTCCCCCGCGATAGATTCCGCGCAGCCTCTCTGGCTGTGAGTTCGCCAGTCCCCCCGACCGACTCGTAGGATGGGCAATCAGTCTATTCGTTGAACACGAGGAGCATCTTGAGGAGCTGGTGAACGTCGAGAGCGGAGTTTCCGACCTGATCTCTGTCCCGATTTAGAGACGATACTCTTATTCTCTCTCAAGAACGGCTGCGCAACGGGGAGCAGGAAGAAGTCGGCGGACTTCTGACCGGTGCTACAGAGGTACAAAGGGGTCGAGCTCGCAAGCCATGGAGGATCCTCATCCCGAAATGCCCTCTGTGATCGAAGACCCTATGCAGACCTTCTTCGGCTGCAGCTGATTCTGGATATCATTGAGTTCCATCGGCATCATCATCAGGAGCTCGGAAGTTCAGGCACCCATCCCATCGGTTAGTGATCGATGCCGGCCTGATAGGTAGAATTATACATCATCGGAAAAAAATTCGACGTCTAGGCGGACCATCGGATTCTGTCGGAAGCACGATGTGGTCCGGGAGCATAGTTTCGTCGACCCTATTCATCGCCGAATCCGTTCTTGGACCCTAAACCTCAGAATTCTCGCATCTCAGCGTCGTGGTGGCTCAAGAAGGCACTTCAGGCGCGCGAGAACCCAAGTAGGTATTCTTGAAGGAAAAGCTTCGAAATTGGCGGCCATAGGCATTTACGGCAGAATCCCTGAACTTCCGAGGTCTGATTATTATTAACTCGATATCAAACAACTGACTCTCCGCTATTACGGTAAACGTTGGAGCGCCACGAGCCACGAGAAATGACGGATAGTTACCTCGACGGAGTCGCTTCCTTCGACCGCATTGAGCTCATGGCGGCAAAGAATTCGAACCCTCATTCCTGGAGCTACGGTGGGACCTGGCCCGTCCCTGGTTACGGTTCGCCCGTACACATCTGGGGCTGTTCGAGCCGTTGTGATCCTTTAGGAACAGTTCGATCCTCAACCAGTGTCCCCATCCAGCCTCAACGCAAACTCTTCGGAGCCCTCCGTGATAAGCGACATACATGACTACAACCCCAAACTCGATTAGCTAGGAGCGGATCAGTCTTCATACTCGTCGTATTGTTCTGGGAGTTCTAAGAGCCGCAAGAAGCTCAGTCGGCTTGCTTCCGTCACCGCAAAGCATCGGAAGATGGAGCGGTGACGGGGACACTCTGTGCCGAGAATCCTCGGAATATCCGACGATAGGAAGTTCTTCATGATTTCTCCAACTCCCACTCGGGTCCATTTTCTTTCTCGAGAAAAAAAGGAGACTAGGATGGTAGGATTGTGAAGGAAATAAAGTCATAGAGATAATGCGCACAGGGAATTTCGTCGTCACGCAATCGATCGCGACCATGCACGACCGTGGAGGGGGCAGAAGCAATCTAAGGGTACAACTCTGAGCCTGTCTTGCGGGTTCTTATCAGCGAGACGGAGAGCTGTGTGATCGAACTCCATAACAAGCAGATTCGGTGTATTGAGCTTCCACGTTCGTGGGCCAACCGAGAGCCGAAATACGATTTTTTCGCGTCCGACGGCTTCTAGA